TAATATCTTCATGTTTTTTCATGTATGTGGCTAACACATCTGCAAATGAAATCTTTACAGTTAAACATTATGAGCCAGCAGCTTTTAAAAGAGATTCCTCGTGACCTCAGGATGCACTGTCACACAGTTTTACGAGTGATGTTAAAGATTATGTGCTCGTTATCAGCAGACAGGAAACCAGAAACAGAAGCAAAGCAGAGAAAGAAATGCGACACATCCTGTCACTGTAAAATCTTATCAAGCTGTGTGTTACACCAGAAAGCTGATAAGCTTTATGAGCTCACATGATGTTTCATTCCAGTCATATTTCAACAGCACATGAATCAAAGAGAAATGCATGATGGGAAGAGCCCCACCCAGCAGTGCTTTATAATATACAAAGCTTGATTTTCTATTTAGTCACTGGGTCAAGGTCATTGAATTCAGTGAAAGCCAGTTAATTTATTTTGACATCTAAATATGTCACAAAACTTGCTTTTCTGCTTCTCACCCAGATAAAAAGTGATTATATAACTGGCTGGATACCAACAATGAGAACCTGCACAGCTGCCCGATCACATGTCGAAGATGATTTCGTTTTCTTTATTTGGAGCTGTGAACTAATTCAGTGTATCAGGTAGTGCCAGAGATTCATTACATACTATAGTAAAAGTGTGCGTCTGTTAACATAAAACACAGTTCATGTGTGTTGGAAAATCATTTATAGTAAAATAAACACATCTCCAAAAGTTGATTCTGTTCATCTGGACGTCTTCAGTGGGAGAAACGTTTCATCATCATCAGGTGACGTCTTCAGTCTCAGCTGACTGCAGCTTTCAATCTTATCAACCCGACATTTGCTGTAATGTAAACCCCAAAACACGCTGCACCAAAGGTTGGTCCACCCCAAGGATTGGGAGAGGAGGCCATTTATGTGAAAAGGGAAAGACCATCTCTGAATGGAGGAGGGGGCCTAAGGATACATCTGTCACCATCTTACATGCTGTGATTGCAGCCATTCCCCAACTCTCTGTGACCGGGATTCATGGCCATTGATCAGTGGGTTATGGTCAATGGTCATGAGAATTTGTATAATTATGATCATGAACTGACCTCCCATCCCATTGTTCCTCAGTGGGCTGGTTTCAGTCATTATGCAAATGTCCTGTTGATAAGATTGAAACCTGCAGTCAGCTGAGACTGAAGACGTCACCTGATGATGACGAAACGTTTCTCCCACTGAA